CCAAATTATCCGAAAACCTATTGCTACCCTAAAACAGTTCCTGAAATTCCGTGATTCTATGCCCCTAAAAACCTGCCAACTGCTAGTTTCTTCACTTCCATTATGGCTTCCTTGTATTCGGTAGACTGTCTGGTGGGCTTGAGATCAGATTGAAAATATTAATGAATTGTTTCATTTGATTCATCTTTGGAGTCCCCTGGCACTCCGTCTCCACTTGGTATGCTGAATGGAAGTGACTCTATCCAGATTTCCGGCAGCGAAATTTCCTAGGTATACTCCTTTTCCGAACCTTTACAACCAAAAACCCATCTTAGTTTCTTGATTTGTTTACTCCTTGTTCCTCTGTTCATTCATTTAACATGATATCCCAGTCCATAAACCTGTTTGTTCCTTTAAAAAATCCTTTATCATGCATGCTATAATTTTTTTGGAATTCTTAACCTACCTCTATACGCTAATCCTCTTCCTTAACTTCATTTAAATAACATTTATTCTTCCACCTCATTAGCAATAAATTTACTGAATACATGTAAGAATAAAATTGTGTACGCCTGCTGACTCAGCAGCCATAATACATGGTTCTAGACCGATTTGTCACTGTCCTTGAACCTGAGTGAGCCGGTGGGAAGGACACTGCCAGATTGGTCCCAATGGGATCGGCTATGAAGCTACGAGTGGTCTGCCGCTGCACCATGGAGACCATGGTTCTTAGCAACGTGAGATTGGGTGATCCCCTCCAGGCTATCTGAGCTTCCGCAAGCAACATGCGTCTGTAAGGAGACCACATCTCGCGGCCAAAAATATTCATGGTGTGTAGTGCCAACCGAAAAAAAAAAAACCTGATTTATTTTAATTATTAGGTTAGATTATTATGTTATGTTAGCAAACAATTTTTTTTTTCTTATAATACCAGACAATTGTCATATTTTTGTTCATTATGATTATTCTTAGAGGACTAAATGTCTCAGAGTAAAATTTATTTTACTTCTTCTTTTTCTACATTAATTTATTATCTTTACAGATAAGAAGAACTTTCTGTATGTTCAATTGTACAAATTTATGAGACGGAATATACTTGTAAGGAACCCTAAAATCTAATGAAAGGCATCCAATTACTACACCAAGTTTCAATATTCATAGAGCTCAATTTCACTAACAATTTGCTGATATGTTTAAGTAGATATGCAAGTACATTCTGCCCTGTAGGGTATGATTGTTTCTTTCGTTAGTTTTCTTCTTTTTTTAATCTTTTTTTTTTTTTTAAAGTATTGACAATGTTTATGAGGAGTGGGGTAGCTCAGTGGTAGGGTACTGAGCTTCCAATACTAAAGGTCCAAGGTTCGAATCCCGGCTCATGCCAGAAAAATTACTTATTCTGTTTCATTGGCCATGGGACAACCCTGGGAAGGTAGATCTTCTTGGGGCACACCCAGCCTCTATTAAGTGGGTATCCTTAATTAAAATAATAAATTAAGGGGAAAATTTTTATGGTTGGGCGTGATCACGGTCAACTCACCTCATTTCACAACTGTAGACCAAGAAACAGTGCTTTTCCTAATTAGTACTGAACCCAAATTCTTCATGGGTTGTAGTGGTACAGGTTAATGTATATGTATCACATATGATAATTATTTATTTGTCATCTCGACAGGCGCCTGAAACTGTCCTTGGCCCTTTCAACTGCCCTTTCCCAATCATTTCGGTCAATAGCATGTCTGCTGGATACTCCCACCATCATCAAGTCCTTAGCCACAGAGTCCTTCCACCTTCCCTTGGGTCTTCGACGTGGTCTTACTCCATCCGGGATTCCATTAAATAATTTCCTCTCAGCTCTACCTTCATCCATTCTGATAATGTGTCCCAGCCATTTTAAGTGCTGAATTCGCATGAAAAAATGTGAGAAACTCAGAGATCGTCGAATAAGTCGTAGATCTCTTTGTTCTTTCTTAAACGCCATGTACCATTCTCTTTAACTGGCCCCATGATGCGCCTCAACACTTTTCTTTCAAAACTGCTGCCCTTACTCCATCCGAGGTTCCATAATATAATTTCCTCACAGCTCTTCCTCCATCCATTCTGATAATATATCCCATCCATTTTAAGCACTGAATTCGCACGAAAAAATGTGAGAAACTCGGAGATTGTCGAATAAGTCGTAGATCTCTTTGTTCTTTCTTAAACACCATGTACCATTCTCTTTAACTGTCCCCATGATGCGCCTCAACACATCCTGGAAGACCATTTTCCCATCAGAACGCTTTATCATCAGACAGTTATTTATAAAATCTGATTTTATTTTACTTATTTCGCCGAAAAACTTTCTGGCCTCATTGTTCCTGCTGTACTCTTCCACCTTATGCCAGTTTTCCTGTTATGCATATTTTTTCTTGTGCCTCAGAACCTTTTTTGCATTAGCTCTGGCTTCCTGGTACTCCTTTCTGTTCTGTCTAGTATCCCTGTTTTGAACTTTTTTCCTCTTTTCATTCCTCAACACTTCTTTCAAAACTGTCAATCTTTTCAGCCAGGCTTTTGCTTAGGGTCCAGGTTGCACTGGCATAGGTCAGTACAGGTCGGATGATTGTTTTGTATATAATTATTTTCATACCCCGACTTAGTAGCTTACTCCGGAGGAAACTTCTTAGGGCGAAATATGCTTTGTTAGACCCCATTACACAATTTTGAATTTCTTCTTTTTTGTCAACCTGGTCATTAACGATGGAGCCGAGGTACTTAAAGCTGGACACGCATTGAAACATATCTTGTCCCACTACATAATGCTTTGGCAGATTTATAGGTGCTTTCTTCCTGAGTACCATAATTTTTGGTTTTTCCTCATTTATGGATAGCCCAATTATTCCAGCTTCTCTTTGCAACCTTTCACAGGCCTCCTTGATCTCCTTGAGGGACAGTCCAATCAGTGCCACATCATCAGCATATCCAAGTACTTGAATTATTTTACTAAAAATGGTGCCCGACTGACTAAGCTCTGCTCTATTCACCACAACTTGGAGAGTGATGTTGAATAGAAGTGGAGAAAGGGGGTCACCCTGTCTAACTCCTGACTTCACTGCGAAAAGTTGGCCCAGCTTCCCATTTATTTTCACTCAACTCGCGCTCTCATTCAAAGAACACAATACAAGTCGAATTAGCTTTGGTGGAATTCCCATCTCTTCCATTGCCAGGTAGAGCTCTTTCCTGATAATGGAATCATAAGCTGCTTTAAAATCGATGAAAAGGATTCATATAATCTTGTTAAATTCTTTTGTTTTTCCATTATTTGTCTTAAAGAGAATATCTAGTCAATAGTTGACCTATTCCTTCTAAAACCCCCCTGATAATCGCCCAACCGAGGTTTCACAAAATCCACAATCCGATTATATAAAATAACAGAAAATATTTTGTAAGCAGTATTCAGGAGGCTAATTCCCCGATAATTGTTGCAGTCTGTGGAAGCACCTTTCTTCTTGAATAAGGGAATGATGACAGATTCCTTCCAGTTATCCGCCGTTTTTTCGGTCTCCCAGATGTTAACTATCAGATGAGTCAACTCCTCAGCCAGTGCTGACCCACCAATCTTCAAATAATCCGCTGGTATGCCATCTGAACCGAAAACCTTGTTGTTCTTGAAATTGTCAACAGTTAGGCCAACCTTCTCTAAATCTGGTGGGCACACTTCATGGTCATTCTCAGTGTCTCGAAAATCCTTATCAGGATACTCGTCATCTTCCCTAGGGTTTAGCAATTCCTGAAAATGCTCCATCCATCTACCTTGCACATCCTCATCCTGGAAGACCATTTTCCCATCAGAACGCTTTATCATCAGACAGTTATTTATAAAATCTGATTTTATTTTACTTATTTCGCCGAAAAACTTTCTGGCCTCATTGTTCCTGCTGTACTCTTCCACCTTATGCCAGTTTTCCTGTTATGCATATTTTTTCTTGTGCCTCAGAACCTTTTTTGCATTAGCTCTGGCTTCCTGGTACTCCTTTCTGTTCTGTCTAGTATCCCTGTTTTGAACTTTTTTCCTCTTTTCATTCCGCACATTAACTGCTTCTTAACACTCCAGGTCAAACCACACGTTTTTTAACTTTCTGTTTCCATTCCTCTTACAATGTTGGTCTGCTGAATCAGAAATAGCTTTTCTAATATAGTTCCATTCTTCATTCACATCTCTTCCTCCGATTACAGCTGGGATGTTACCTATACCTCTTTCAACGTCTCTCAGGAAAGCATACCTTATTTCCTCTTCTATATGACAAAAGTGAAGTCCTATGCCCTCTATCTTTGAAGGACACTGCAGCTTCTATAAACAGCCTACAGATGGAGATAGTAGAAGAAAAGATATAATAGCGAGAAGCAGCGAAGCGCAAAACAAGCCGAACTGATATATTAGCTCGTAGCACACTGGGCACTGCTTCCACCTGACTGATATATCAGCTAGTAGCACACCGGGCTCTGCAACCACCGGACTGATATATCAGTTCGTAGCAGCGAAAGGGTTAAGATGTTTACAATACTTAGCACTGATCGCATGAATACCCCATTATTGTTTTTTACCTTTGCTCTGCCTGGATTTCTAGGTTGTAATATTTCAATCAATTTGTTTTTTTTGTTAAATAGGAAAAAACATATTGCTGAATGTATTAAACAAATTCTAATGTATAATGAATTAAAAAACCAAAAGACGCTTCTAGTAAAGTAGGCTAAGTAAATTTTTGTCTTTAAAAAAATATTCATATTCTTTTCTAGCATCCTTTACAATTATTAAATACATTTTTTTTTTTCAAACCTATAAATATAAACTTGTGTACTTGAGTTTATGGGATGATATTTTTTCATGGTGTTTACTAAAGTGAAAATCATAACTTTTCAGGATTTTCTCCTAATTCAAAGTTATTACAATTCTTAAAAAGCTGAATTATTGCTCTTTCTAACCATATTATTTTATTTTTTATTAAACTTTAGGTTTATCATCTTATGATTTATTTTAATTTTAGTAAAATGACTAGTATGACAGAGAATGATATTATCAATACTCTTGAAGCGATGAATATGCTGAAATATTGGAATGGGAACGATATCATTTGTGTCACGCCTGCTTTGGTGGAGTCTCATATTTTATCACCTCAGTTCAAGAGGCCAAGGCTGACAGTCGATGCAAATGCTATCACGTGGTGCCCCTACCGTACTCAGCAAAACTCACCTTGTGAAGACAGAAGTAAGTATTTTGTAATGGAAGATACTTATTGTTTGATAATTCATGTGTTGACATTTCGGGTTAAGTTTTAGGCCTTCCTCAGGGCAACATGCATAAGGTTTGCAAAGTGAGTGACTAGAGTTTGAAAATGAGAGTAATTATTAGTTTTATTATTAGTAGTACAAAAATTCTCGGAATTAGGGCATTTGGCATGATTTACAACCATAACATGTCGTCAGAATGACGTGATAATTTATGAACATCTAGCTATTTTTTTAACACTAATGGTTAATAAAGATGAGTACAATCAAATGGTCATAGTGGCCTACAAAAATATTGGGGCATTTGGCATGACCTGCAACCCTAACATGTCGTCAGAACTATGTTGTGAAAATTTATGAACATCCAGCTGATTTTAACATTAATGATTAATAAAGATGAGCACAATCAAATGGTCATAGTGGCCTACAAAAATATTGGGGTGTTTGGCATGATTTACAACCCCAACATGTCATCAGAACGACGTAAAAATTTATAAACATCCGGCTGATTTTCACATTAATGGTTAATAAAGATGAGTAGAATCAAATGGTGATAGTGGCCTACAAAAATATTGGGGCAATTGACGCGACCTACAACCCCAACAGGTCTTCAGAACAACGTTATGAAAATTTATGAACATGTGGCTGATTTTCACATCAAATTTATGAACATCTGGCTGATTTTCACATCAATAAAGATGAGTGCAATCAAATGGACATAGTGGCCTACAAAATTATTGGGGCGTTTTCGGAAAAAAAAAAATATCTACTTATTTATTATACTAACTTTACTCAGTAGCCGAAACATCCAACAATAAAAAAAAAAATAAAGTTATATTTTGGCAAATGTTGTTCAGGACCCTTCTCGTAATTGCTGGTAAAAATTTTTAAAGATTCCCAGGTTAAGTTTTTATGTGGGGAAGGGAAGAAGGGCAATAACTGATTTTGTTTTTCAGTTTTTTGTAAATATCTCATCAACTATGAGGTTTGATGTAAATATCATTCTATACAAAATTAAAGTCCTTCAAAATCTCAATAAACATTGTTTAATACATTTCCTTGATCAATAAAATCAATGGTAATGGAAATATTAAAAAAAAAAAAATGAAGGGTCTTGGGTTCAGTACTATTTAGGGAAAGTACTGTTTCGAGGCCTACGGTTGTGGAGGGAGGGGATCAGTCCAGGATCATGCTCAACCGCCAGTTTTCCCCCTTAATCAATTATTTAATTAAGGGTACCCACTTTATAGAGACCGGGTGTGCCCCAGGAGGGCCTCACTACCCCAGGGTCACCCTACAGCCAATGAAACAGAATAAATAATTTTTCTGCCATGAGCCGGGATTCGAACCTGGGACCATGAGTAATGGAAGCTTAGTGCCCTACCACTGAGCTACCCCGCTCCCCTACGGAAATGTTAAAGAGACAAAATTAATGGAATTAGACTTTCAATAAAAATTGCTTCAAACATTATAAAATCGCTATGTCCAATAGACATAATACCGATTCAAGGTTGAATTTTTTTTTTTTTATTAACATTTCCAAGCATTTAAAAATATATTATAATCAAATTCTCTTTGATATAATGATTTTAATAACCAATAATAAATTATCGAGACTCAAGAAAATAAATAGAAGCAATATTAATTGTCAATTAGTCTTATATATCTTCAAATGCATATTATTTGATAATTAGTGCCTTTCCACGTTTCATTCTAGAACTTGTAATATTATAAAACAATATACAAATTTTCTATTCCTGTAAGTCTTACCCCATTCCCCAGTACACCACCTAAACCTGACGATGATTTATACAATGTTTATACTAATTTCATAAACAAATTAATTTAAAATCAATAGCAATTTAGACATTACTTCTTCTAAAAATAATTCTTTAATGATTGAAATTGAATATTATTTCATTTTGAGTTTCTATAATTTCTTATTGGTTTTTAGAATTATTAAAACAAAGTGAATTTGATAAAACGACTTACGCCTCCATGTTTTCTTTTTCTTTTTTTTTTTATGTTTCGTACATTTAATAATGAATTATAAGAGAACATCGTTTATATTATCGACTGTAGTAATGACTGAGGATTAAAATATCGTTAACGTATATAGTTTGTCAACATTTTACGTTATTTCAGTCTTGATTGAAATATCTAAAAACATATAATTTATTCCCTGCTTAGTATTTAATATACAATTCTATATATATTATTTATTTATTTTTGTAGTTATATTTGCTTCCATTAATTTAGATCACATTAAGTCTGTTTGTGTGAAAATGGTTCCAAATTTGCTCGTTATGGCCAGTGGTGGGGGCAAATCAGAAGATTTAAAAGATAATGCTTAACCCGTACGAGCAACAGAGTGCTCCACCTCTTTCCACCACTAGTATCCATAGAAGACAGATGCTCTGAGGGTGCCCTCGGGTAACAAAGAGATGTTTTAAGCTGGCATAAAAATGGTAAGCTATTTTTGCACAATCAGTATAACCTACCAATTCATTAAAATACAGTTGCATAAAAGTAGAATGTTGCCCATAATTTGAATGTTGCCTATTAAGAACTCATGATAGTTATTTGTCTAACTTAATTTGAAAAGTTACCTAAACTAAATCGTTTATACATTAACTGTTTTAGATCATTTTATTTATTTTTTGTTTGCTTTTGTTAAAATAAAATTGAAATCAGTCATCAGCTATTTTTTTAACATTGTAATATTAATTTGCTGTTAAATTATCAATTATGGAGTGATTTTTGTGTAAATTTTGAGTAAAAAGTCCGAATTTTGAGAAAAAAAAAAAGGAGGTTGTAAAGGATTTTTTTAAAAAAAGTATGGCTTTCATCAATCTAACATTGTATGTGGTTAGAGCCACTCCCTCCCCCGGTTACAAATTTAAAAAAACAAAACAATACAAGTCGAAAAATCATGAGTGCAATTAAACATTTTAATGATACAATAATTACAATTTTCAATAAATGTTTCCTTTGAAAAAAATTTTCACAGTAATCCCGAAAAATATAACCAATATATATAATCTAATAATTTTCTTTTTACATTTTTTTGAAATTGAATAATATTACATTCTGTCACAATTGAGGACATTAGCAGTAGTTATAGAGTAGTTCATTCTCACTGTAAATAAAAATAAATTAAACAGCAAAACAATAATACTAAAAGTAAATGAATATAAACAAAAAAAAACAACTAAACTAATTAAAATAATTTCCTTTGAGACAGATTGCATTATTTTTCAATAAACAAGTTAAAAAAAAAAAAATCAAAATTACAATATAAATATAGGCAAACAATACAATAAAGATGAGAATGAAAGTTGTAGAATGGTGCATTTATTATTTACATGTATAAAATAGTTTTTTATTTAGTAGGATTGTTGTAAAGTATTGAAATCCTATTTTTTTAAATTTCTATTGTATGGAAAGTAGATAAAAAAAACATCTATTAATGTGAACATCAGTACAGCAACATTTGATTAATGAAATTATTACTCACTTTAAGATTCGCTGACACATAACGATTTAACTTTTATTAAAACGTTTGATGGAAATTTAAAAACTTAAAGTTTCCCTACTTTATTTCAAATCGAACTCATAATCATTAAATCCAAAATTGTATTATATACAACTTGTATTCAATATATTTTCATCCATTATAGCCGCTTTTAAGAAAAATAAGACTGACAATGCCTGCAAAGGAATTTTTAAAGAAAATTCGTAGATCTTATGTTTTATTAATGGACATTTTGATTCTTCTGCCTATCCGAATTCGATGTTTGAGATAATCATATTATGCAGAATTTAATGTTGTTTAATTCATAAACTGAAAAAAATCAGAAAAAAAACAACAGAATTTTGAATATTTACGCTCCCTTTCAGCCTTGGTCCCCTTCTTAGAACGGGACAAACTTAAGATACTATTACCTGACATTCAATGAACAGATTAACACCATGGTCAACTTTCTAAAACTCTTTTCCAGCTGTGGAAAAATAATTGTCTTATTTTTGTGGGTTAAGCCACCAAACGCCCCAATATTTGTATAGGCCATGACATTATTTTATCTCAAACTAGCTCACTTATCATCTGTGCTTCATGGCCTGCGGATGTTCGCAAATTTTCACAACATCGTTCTGACGGCATGTTGGGGTTGTAGGTCACGTCAAATGCTCCAATATTTTTGTATGCTACTTTGACCATTTGTTGATTGTACTCATCTTTTTTTTTTTGTTCCGACATTATTTTGCACCGTGGCCTCAAGTAAGCCTATTGTACGTCGTCCTAAACTCAGTTAAAACAGGCCAGATGTCTTCACAAACCTATTGACCCTGAGGGGATCAATGAGTTTGCAGTGATACGATCACATCCAAAGTGAAAGTATCGCAGTCTAGCCAGATTATCACATTTGCAAATAATGTGATAGGCTGTTTCATGGAGGTTTCAGGATGGAGGTTTCACTTCCACCCAGATTAAAAAGGTGCTTATTTAATTGACAGTGACCTGTATACAGTCCTGTCACCCGCCTAATGGTGTTTCTATCCATTAGAAGAACTGAATTGCTTCTTTTATGGCAGGGCCTTGCAAGGAATAATTTCGAATGAATCTGCTTCCTAGTCTGTGTGCTATGTAGCATGAATTTATTGCCCACAATTGTCCTAATACATCTTTTGGCAAAACCAAGGCTTATCCCACAAATAGGCTCTGCTGCAATTGGCATCTATGCAGAGCCTTTCCTAGCAAGGTAATCAGCCTTCTCATTTCCTGGAACCCCCGAGTGTCCAGGTACCCATTCCACTCTCACCTTGTTTCTACTGCAAAGAAAATTAAGATTGCGTTTGCATTCATCCACCAACTTTGAGCGACTTGCATAACTATTCAGGGCCCCAATTGCCGCCTGACTATCCGTATATATTGTAATCAATCTATTTCCAATGCCCTCCTGAATAAGTGATTGGGGACAGAAATCGATGGCTAAGACCTCGGCTTGAAAGACGGACGTGTATTTACCTAGAGATATAAATATTCCCTCGTTAGGCTTATCCTTTCTCCAGATACCAGCTCCTGATCCCTGCTCCATTAAGAATCCGTCTGTATAACAGTTAACCCCATTACATGATGTAAGTTACTCCTGCTTATATTCAAATTATATAATATGACTCTATATTTATCAACTTGCTGGTCAGAGCTCATTGCAAGTACCTCATTACTATCAATCCTATCAAAAACGATCCCATGTCCCTGAAACGTCAGGAATTTTGATCTCGTTCCCAGTTTGTCCATTCTATAGGCAGTTCTGAGAGCACGTGCTTCCACTTCTAAATGCATTGGTGTCAGATTTAATAGAACTTCCATTGCAGCAGTGGGAGTAGTGCTCATAGCCCCCGTCGTCATAAGGCATACGAGCCTTTGAAGCTTGCCAAGCAGTACGCTAGGCCTGCCTGCAGCTGCCCTATGCCACCACACAACGGCTGCATAGAGGACTATAGGTCTAATCGCAGTTCTGTATAGCCATAAGGCCATGCTGGGTTTTAGCCTCCACGATTTGCCAACGAACTTTTACGCGCCCATAGGCAGCGTATAACTTTTCCACTAATCTTTTCAATATTTATTAGCCAATTTAGCTTACTATCTAGAGTAATCCCAAGATGTTTTACTTCACTACAAATATTTAATGTCAACCCATTTAATGATGGTGTTCTAATGTTAATATTTCTTCTATTAGTGAAGACGCAGAGGTTTATCTTATGCGGATTTATGCCAAGGCCATTTTCCAGGCACTATTCCTTTAGAAGTCTGATGTTATATTCAAGAGGTTCAGAGATGGTATCTGTGAACTTACCTCCAATCAATATCGCAATGTTGTCAGCATATTCCTGAGCATAAAATTCCACCTCATTCAACTTAGCAATCAGGGAATCAACAACCAGACACCACAAAAGCAGAGACAGCACACCCCCTGTGGACACCCACCAACTGGTTTAAACCACATTTCAGATAATCCCAACTCTGATTTAAGGACTCTTCCCCTCACAACCGAATTAATCCATTCCAAAGCCATGTGTCCAACCCTAGTCTACTTTCCAATGCCCTAGTCATTGTATCATATGGGGTACAATCAAATGCACCTTCAACATCAACGAAGATACCTGCCATTATCTCTTTTTGCGATAAACTTTTCTCTATTCTAGAGACTGAATAGTGCAACGCTGTCTCACAAGATTTTCCGGCTTGACAGGCAAATTGGGCACAGTGTAGCGGTCTTTCTACCAATGTAGTATCCCTAATGTGTCTATCTACAATCTTTTCCAACGCCTTCAGCAGAAAAGAGGTCAGACATATAGGTCTATATGCTTTGGTATTGTCTCTTGTAAGACTCTTTTCCAGACTTAGGTATATAACAGACTCTTGCTTCCTTCCACTTATTAGGTATATATGCAAGTGCCAGACTTCCCCTAAATAACTCTAAAAGATAAGGTTTAATTACAGATAAGCCATTTTGTAGCAGAGCTGGGAAAATCCCATCAGTACCCGCAGATTTGAACGGTGCAATTGCCCATTCAACCCTCCTAGAACTCACAATTCTTCTGGCTTCTACCCACTTGTCTTTACCACAAATGTGTCTGTTCATAGTGGGATTAGCTACATGCTCCTCTAGTATTTGGCAGCAATGAAAATGAGCACTCGCCAGAGCCTCCAGAGTATCATCTCTGAAACAGGTGTTTTCTTCTTCAACCCTGACCGTGCCAATGACCGATCCGTCTGTTTGCTTTGACAGAATTTTATGGACTCTTGACGTGGAAGACGTGTTATTGATATCATTGTAGAAGTTCCTCCACGCCCCCCATTTTGCTTTTCATACAGCCTTATTATATTCAGTTAGGGCATGCTTATAAATATCCCATCTGCCTGTATTCTTAGCGGCATTGAAGAGTTTTCTAGTGATGGCTCTTAACTTGCCAAGTTCATGATTCCACCATGAAACATTCCTGTTAGAAATAACGCAACTGACACTATTATTCTCAGTGTAGCACCTCATGATTCCCTCATATAATGAGGAGCTGAGGCATTCCAGATGCCAAGTATTCCTAATAGTCTTAGGACAGCTTTTGACTTCTTCCTCTAGGTGTGTACAGTATCTCTCCCAATTTCCACGTTTTGGGTTTCTGTACACAGACTTGTTAACATTATATCCAGGCAGGTCAAATCTGATATAGCGATGATCAGAGCATGATTCTTCATTGAAGACATGCCAGTGCCTTATCCAAGAAATCAAGCAACGTGTGCCTATTGTTATGTCTATTACTTCCGAACGGACTCTATTTAGAATCTCAATGTCGAAGCTACTTAAATACTCTAAAAGAGACTCACCTCTCCGTTTGTTCTTAGAACTCCCTCAGATTCTGTGGTGATCATTGGCATCCAGTCCTGCAATCACCTTTTCTTTTCCCATCCTCTCTTCTAAGCTTCTTAGAGCCGCTGTGGGGATGTCTTCTTCGTAGGAGAGATACCCTGCTGCCACTATAATCCTCTCCCCATCCTTACCCTCAGAAAGGGCCAGTTGAGCTGTTGTCAGGTCCCTGAAACAATGAGGCATAAGCTTAATTCTATTCTTGAACAGGATACAGGTTCTTGGAAACTCGGGCACTGCAATAATGCTATACCCAGTCATGTCCAGCCCCCTAATCCTGTTCTCGAACAGGTAAGGTTCTTGAATTAATACAATATCAATATCCTTACCTCTAACGTACTGCTGCAGCACTCCACAGGCTGCCACACAGTGATGGAGATTCACCTGCAACAGCTTAACCATTATTATAAGAGGGAGCCTGTTGCAGGAGGACCTCCCTCCGCCGGGGTCCGAGGGAGTACATCCGTCCTGGTATCATGTTTCTCAGGTCCGGAGACCCCCCCCCCCCACACCCACCGGAGATAAGCCCTCCCGAGCTGGCTCAGACGCTACTACCATTCCACTAGTGGAAGCAAAAGTTCCCCCTACCTCATCTACCTGGGAAACTTTTAAAGAAGCAGTGCCACCTTTGCGGTCTGCGCACTAGTTTTGGGTGGTTTCCTCTTCTCGAACACCCTAAGTGCAACTTTAGCAACTCTGTACGTCACCATCATATTTTTGCCCTCAAGGTGCTTGATACTTGTTACAGGGATCCTAAAGATTCTGTAGATTATTTCAGTCTCCGCCTTAGTATCCAATATCTGCCAACTATCAATATCTGGGATCCTACCATTTTGAATGCGGAGTCTCCTAATTAATAGTTCCGCGATTTTCTCCCCAGGGAAGTATGCACCCAGCCTGACAGCTTTGCGTTCCTCTACATTACCAGCACAGAGTTTAACCCCCACCCCACTGATAGTGAAGCCCTCCACTACACTGTAGATCCAATCTTTGGTCGCTTGGTCATCGCAGATGATGATACATCCCCCCAGATGGTGGCTGAAGCCACTAAACTCAGGGATAACGCCACCAAACTCCAGACGATCAACTAATTTGATCACCTGGGCTTTAACCTCCTCGCCCTGTTCCCTGGAAAGCTGAACCGATGGATAACCACAAGGGATAATAGGCACCCTACTGCCCCCAGTCACCAGAGCATAAGAAATTGCACCAGCTTCCCCGCTTCTGGCCCTCTTCGCCACAGGCGTTGAGTTCCCCGGTGAGGATCTGGTTCGCTTCGTGACCGGCCCAGGCTCCTCACTAATCCGTGCCAGTACAGCCGGAGCTGCTGCCACCGGTAGCTTAGTCCCAGACATAGCCTCGAGCCTCTTCATCCTTTTGTACTTCCTTCTCTGCACACCAGAGAACTTGGGTTTTGGTGGTACACCAGTTCCACCAGCCATACCCTTAATATCCTCTGTTGACACAGAGAGCTTAGAAACCTCAGCTGAGATAGTCTCAGTGGAGCTTCTTGAATTTTCCTCACGAGGGTCCATCGATGGTCCCTCGGAGTATCTCCCAGCCACTTCCTTCTCTAACAATTCCATTTTCGTGATTAGTTCCATGTCCATAGCCGCGTCTTTACCAGTGTTGTCAGTTTTGTTGGGTTAAGTGGTTCACACATTTTGGTTCCCACTAGTATGGGGATGACTAAAAGTTCGCTACAGGTACTATCCCCTCTCTCTGCAGAAGGCTAAATACAATGGGGTGCGCCAGGTGCCCCAAGTAGGTCGAGTTGACAGTGTATTTTTATAGGTACCCCCTGCCACTCAGCCATGGCTCGAGCGCCCTCTACCTAGCTTGGGTGCCGTAGTAGGAAACACACAACTGTCCTCTAAGGTAGAGGGCAGAAGTGTGGATCCCCGCCTCTGATGTTTGCGAGTCCCATCGGACTCCCCGGGGGCATCACGAAAAGGTGACAGTAGGCTTTGATAGGGATAGGAAGGACTGTGAAAGCAGTGAGTAGGGCACTATTGCTTTATCATTCCGCAAGGAGTGGGGGAGATTCCCGCACCCATCTCCCTCTCCAGCCCTCCTGTTACCCTACCCATGTTGTGGTTGTAGGTCACGCCAAACGCCCCAATATTTTTGAAGGCCACTATTACCATTTGATTGTACTCATCTTTATGAACCATTAATGTGAAAATCAGCCGGATTTTCATAAATTTTCATGTCGTTCTGATGACATGTTGGGGTTGTAGGTCATACCAAACACTCCAATTCCAAGAATTTTCATAGATAAAATATTTCTAGGTTACGACAAAATGAAACCACTCATGAACTTTTAAGCGGATGTTAATAATTTCATGAAAAGGGACTTGTACCACGGACTATAACCTTTAGCATCACTTTATTTATTTACTTTACTATTTATTTTATCTAGGGAGTTGGGTAGCTCAGTGTGTGAGCATATTAATTTTTTATCACTGTGGATCAATCCTGGGGCAGGGAGATCCTCCTGGGGCACACCAGCCTCTATAAAGTTGGTACTCTTAACCCTGGAATGACACACTTAAAAAATTCAACTCATTCTGACACTCTGGGGTGTGTAACCCCAAACTTTAAATTATCATAAAATTTAATTGTCATGCTCTGGAAGACTCAAATACTTTTTATAAATAAGGTAAATAATCAGGAAAACAAAAAAAATAATAAATTCAAGGTAATATATTTTATATGCTAACATAAAAAAGTTAACATTTACATCGCTAAAAAATCAAAAAAGGATCAATATTTTTCTATTGAAAATACGTTAAGTTTACATCGATTAAATATATATATTAGGAATGTAAAATATATACATAATAAAGGAAATAAATATTTTTTTACTGAAACAGATAATAAAACCTATAGTGGGAGCCATTTATGTGACCACTCACTCACAACAATCCAAGCAAACTGCCGCCCTGTGTTCATTGCCGATAGGTCTCTTACATTTTTGTCATTATATATTTCTTTCTCGTGCAAAACAAATATTTTGCTTGATTTTCCAACAGTAGCAATTTATTTTTTAATTTCCAAAATTTCTTTTATGTTATAACACAACCTTCATTTGAGTATCTCCACTTGCAGTATTCTTTTCAAACAGGGCCCAAGTAACAAATAGCCTAATCCAAATAAATAATTTCTCCATTTCATCTTCTTTTCCTAGTTAACTAAGCTGAATAATATGCAGTTTATACCAGCATGGTTCAACATTCCAAAGAAAAATCGGAGAGACAGCCTCTTTTTTGTTCGTGCTGTTAACACACATGACACATTTGATCAAAAGTTACTGTGCCTTCTTTATTTAATATGTTCCATGCATCTTTTCTTTATCTTCTACATCTCATAACAACTTATGGATTTCTTCAGTAGAAGAATACATTTTTTTGGTAGTTGCCATACTAAAAAAATAGATTCTATACATTACCGTCTGAATTTAAAATACCACTAATCCACAAATATAACATTAGAAATCCACACCTGAATTATTCGAAGTTTCAAAATAACAAAGAAAACACTGGGATACGAAATCGACAGAACAGTTGCATTGACAGCACCCTGTGGCGTGAGGCACCCAGGAGAGTCACGTAAACAACACACTGGGGTATGGTATACCCCATAATGACTTTCGATGATTCCCAATTATGATATAAGCCTAACAGTGGAGTGCTAATGACTGTAATTAGCCGGGCTATGTATGATGTTTATTTACATTAAAAAACTTGGTCAAAGAGCTGCTTATATAAAAGTAAATTAATATTGAAAATATTGTGGGGTGGGTCACACCCCAGTGTGTTATTCTAGCGTTAATTAAATAATTAATTAAGGGGGAAAACCTAGCAGTTGAGTGTGTTCACATTGTACTGAACCCATGACCCTTCATGGGTTGTTAGTGGTACAGGTTTTTTATTTTTTTAGCATCACTTAATTTAGGGAATATCCTTCTCAATATTTTAAAGCTTCTCCTTTCTGGTCCACAGTTTTAACAAAGTCCTTCAAAAATCCCTGATTGGTGTGTAAAGGAGGGAGAATTTAGATCGACCAAAGACCAAAATGTTTGGAAATTTTTTTATCAGACATACGGGATCTTGTTGGTGATTCACCTTGTTAAATAAATATAATTCCAATAACAACATCGTAACATACCCTAATGCAGTCAACCTACCAGCACTGAATTTTCGGTTAAACATAAATTATGATATCAACAATCACCATTCAAACTAAGAAAAATAAGTTACAAGGTTATCCTATGAAGTCATCGATATGAGTTGTCTTATGGTTGGCAGGCAGGCAATGTACAATATAAACAATTTATTTATTTTTATTTGATTACAATTTGTTTAATGTTTGTTTTTCTCTGATTTTCAGATTGCAGTGATGAGTTAGACAGTGGAAACACAGTTTAAAAATTTTCTTTTTGTTTGATATATTTTATAAATATTTAATTTATGAACAATAAAATATTTAATTTCGTACTGTTGGACAATTTATTTGTGGATCTGTGGCAACACTGTCTGGACCACGTGTGTAACCTTATACATTGTTATTCCGGTTATTGTTCCGTTGTACCGTACCTATGCCGCACCTGATTGTATATAATATATGAAAGTTGTGTTCAATAAATATAGATATAAATACATGACCTGTTTCATATTTTGCCCTAATCTATAGAATCATAGATTCAACAGGTTATGGGCCCAGTGACCGTAAGTTCGTGAATTTCGTCCAAATCGTTATTTTTTCATTTCGCGAATCTGCCATGTCTCAGTACCAGTTGCCGCCGGTTAAACATCTAAAGGGACGACAAAATTTCGACACATGGAAATTCGCAGTGCAGCCTATCTAGAAGATTTAGTGCTGTGGGAATATATAACAACAATAACGGATCCTGACAAGAAGAAAGACATGAAATGCCGTTCCAAGTTAGTTCTATTGGTTGAACCTGTGAATTATGTTCACATTCAAAACACGACCACCCCCAAACAAGCATGGAAAAACCTATCGAAAGCTTTTCAGTACAATGGATTGACAAGATGAGTTGGACTTCCCCGTATTCTTATAACTATGAAACAAGAAGACTGTAGTTTGGTAGAAGAATATGTGTACCGCATAATTACAATGGCACATAAGTTAATGTCAGTTGGTCTCACATTGAGTGATGAATAGGTTGGAACAATCCTTGCCGGATTACCAAGCCGTTTCGAACCCATGATAATGGGCATTGAGAGTTCGGGTTCGGGAGTATCACCGATTCGGTTAAAACAAAGTTATTGCAGGACCTTTCCATTGTAAAATCTAGTATAGAAAATAATAATTGTAAAAATTCAAATTCCGATTTAAACAGTCATAGTTCGTTATAAGGTTCTGTTCGTTATAAGGGAGTCCAAAAATATAAGAAATATGAACAAGGTAAAGCCAATAAAAAGCCCTCTAAAGGCTCCCGCTGTTTTCAGTGTAATAGTTACAGACACATCGCCAAGAACTGTTCTTCACCCGCAACTGGTAAGAGCAGCGGAGACAATCCGAACAAGGGTGCAGATACGTCCCTGTTTGCAGCATTTTCTACACTATTATCTGATAATTCTGAATTTTTCTGGACAGTGTAGACCTTCCTCTCATGATCCATCACTCCCAATACCATATCTGTGTAGATGATTTACAAATATACCTGTCCTTCCCGCCCTCCGACCTATTATCAGCCACAGAAAAACTTCAAGAAGACTTGGATAGAATTTGTGACTGGGCGAGAGCTAACAAGTTGAATTTGAATAGTTGAAACAGATGATAGTATTACATGCAAACGCCATGTGGACCAAATTGTCAGATTTCTCCATAAGGAAAAAATAAGAGAAGAAGCTATTTCTGTAAATCAACAAGAGAGCAACAAAAGAATCAGTCATAGAAGCGGGAGCTGAGTCATAGAGCTTCCTTGGGAGCTACAGAAGACTCAGTTGTTTGCGTTAGTTTTATGTTAGTTAATTTGTGTTCTTAGTTTAATTAGTATTAAGTATGCATATTGAGAATATTGTTATATTAATGAAGAAAGCAACTTACGGATTCATTAAAGTTCTGTGTGTGATGTAATCAGACTAAAATTATGTCGTCGATCTTAAATATTTCATTGGATAAGCACAACTGAGGCTGTAGTGTTTTATAAAATAGTAATTAATTAATTTTGATTGTGTCCATTAACAGTAGTTTGAGAAGCATTTACTCATTTTGATTCAAAAAATGGTAAATATTCCTTACAGATCATTAAAGATTGTTAGTTTTATTCAAGAATTATATGTATTTTTGATGTTTTTAATATGTTGCTATTTTTATAACTATGATACACTTTCTTTAGAAAGGGGAAAATTGTGATATATCTATAATACCAATTAGTGATTCAGTTGTATTAACCTAACAGTGTTATCTTTTACGATGAATAAAGAGTAGTGATTACTAATATTGTAGTTTTGTGTTTTAATGTGCAAATATCTAACATTTTCTGCATTCAACTTCAACTTGTTAGCTCTCGCTCAGTCACAAATTCTATCCAAGTCTTCTTGAAGTTTTTCTGTGGCTGATAATAGGTCGGAGGGCGGGAAGGACAGATATATCTGTAAATGATCTGCATAGATATGGTATTGGGAGTGATGGATCAAGAGGGGATGGTCATTAATATAAATATCAAACAGAGTAGGAGATGGGGAGGAAGCTAGAGGGACATCACAGGAGTGGGGAAGGGTCTTGGATGAATGTTGACCTGGGACTAATACATACTGGGACCGATTTGAATGGAAGGATTTGAACCAACGCAGGGTGCTGTTGGATAGAGGAAGATTGTGCAATTTAGTAAGGAGGGTGTTATGGTCAACGGTGTCAAACGCTTTGGAAAAATCCAGAAGAATGAGGATAGTAAGGTTTTGGTGTTCAATGGAGTTTTGGAGGTCATGGGTTATTTGAAGGAGAAGATATTGTGTTGAGTAGCCAGCTCGAAAGCCAGATTAGAATGGATTAATAAGGGAACATTCCTCTAGGAAGTTGGAGAGTTGATTTTGGACAAGGCGTTCTAACGGCTTTGAAAGGTTGGATAGGAGAGAAATGGGACGGAAGTGCAATGTGGTAGGGTTGGAAATTTTATTCAAAGGTTGGACTAGGGCAGTTTTCCAGGAGGATAGGATTATGGAGTTTTGCAATGAAAAGTTGTTGATATGATAAATATATTGTATATAGGTATGAATGTGTTTTATACATTTTAATTTCATTTAGCTTTTCTCTATTATTTTTTTTTCTTTCCTCTTGCTTTTTTTTTTTTTTTTTTTACCTATGTATGTTAAACTCTTTTTCTTTTATCTCTATTTTAGTTATCATTTGTATTTATATATTGTGTGAATGTTTAATGTAGCCCTAATATTAATGCCCTCCAATGCAGCAGAATGTATTAATTTTCAAATAAAAAAAAATAAAAAAAAAGGTATGATAAATAACAGAAATAAGGACAGGAAGGCTGGATTTTATTAGTTTTACTGGAATATTATCAGGACCATAACCATTCGTGCAGGATTTTAGAATAGTAGAAAGTAATGCTTTGTAAGACACATGGGAGAAACATAGGTATTCAGGATTGAAGTTGTGATGTTTAATATCGAAAGTAAGAAAAGAATTGTGAGTGAAGGGTTAGAAATGGTTATTGAGATCGTCTGGAGAAAGAGAGAAGGAACTAAGATTATTGGATTCTGGTAGGGATAAATTATGGAGTAGGTTCCACTTAGATTTGGAGTTGGAAGCATTGGACAGGGCATTATGAAAGTAGGTGGTTTTAGCAGGAAAGACTCCGGATTGGGTTCCATTGCGAAGCTCCTTGAAAGATGCATAATCCACAGGCAAACGGGTTCGACAATATTTGCGCCTTGCTGCAGCTCTTCCCCTCATCATTTCCTTTATCTCATTGGTAAGCCAAGGAGCAGTGGGACGGCGTAAGGTTTTGGTTTTCAGAGGAGCATGGATGTCTAATATGGTTTGTAGGTTTGAGGTCAGGGTGGATACCAAAGGATCATTTGAGTTATAGGAATATATGGAGCCACATTGGAGATTAATTAAGGTCTGGTTGAAGGGATTCATAGGAGAGGTTTAAATTGCGGTATGAAACTGTTTTGGGAGTGAAGGATTTCAGGGGTAGGTCGTTTGTAATTTGGATAAGGTCATGTGTTAAAAGTTGATGTTGAGAAGAGGAAAGGATTTTGATGGGAGAGTCAGAGATATAGAGGTCTGACCAAGTATCGGAAAATTTCGTGTTATGGGTAGGGAATAAGGAACAAGATGAAGGTTAAGGGAAAACAGCAGGTCGGTAAGGAAGTATTTTTTGGGAGATTGTGAAAGCATGTTCACGTTAAAATCAGCGGTGATGATAATATTGGTGTAGTTGGAAAACAGGACAGCAAGGGAAGATTCTAAGAGGTTGTCAAATGGAACACGAAGGGGGCGGTAAACTACGACATACAATAGAGGAGAGGGAATAGAGGAAATTTCAACGAACATGTATTCCATGTGAGGAAAATCACGATGACGAGACTGTAGAAGGATTTTGGCCTTAAGACTGTCATGAATATATAATCCGACACAATCTCCCGTGCGATGAGGTCTATCGTAAGAACGAGTAATCGGTTAAGCAAATCTGGGAGGATGGGATAAAAGGTTTTAGATACTGTTATAATGTGCAATTTCTAAAAAGTACTTTCTGTTGTACCCGATGGTAGTCAAGAAATTCCGTTGAGCTTGGATGAAGATCCTCGACGAGGTATTCTATCCTTCATTGCCATAATTATCGATATAAATGGATATTTCAGTCCGATCATTTTTCCGTTAAATGCCTATTACAACGTTTGTGGCTGCTTCAGGTTGATTTGAGTTGCCCTTAAGTGCAATAGCGGATCCAGCCGGAAGCTGGAAAAAAAAATCCAAAAAGGATTTCAAAAAGCACCTATTTAAAGGAAAATAAAAATATTATAATCGTGACCAGCACTAGCAAATTATGTTATGGGGGGGGGGCGCCTATGTCAAATGGTTTTTGCCACAATAGGGGATGATTACATGAGTCAAAGGTCCTTCGAAAATCTATTACCGCTGCGAATAAATTATTATTCCGTTTATGCTTAATCTGTATGATTGAGCTTAAGACGAAAATGTTGTTAATACAACTTCGGTTTCTTCTAAATCTCGCATTCTTGAATAACCTCTGCTTCATCTGCCCATATTGTAATCCTGTACAGAAGTATTTGAGTGAATAGTTTTTAGAATGGTATTGGCTCACGTTATGTTTCAATAATTTCCTGGATTTTTAGGACTGCTTTTTTTTTAAGTAGCATTATGTTTGAAAGTCTACTCCAACCATTTGGAATTACTTCGGCGGACACGATTTTATTGAAAACAGCCTGTATATAGAGTTTCCAGTTTTTAGAAAGATTTTGGTAAAATACATAAGTTATGAGGT